TATATGTCTGCGTGGGGGACCCTCAAACACTAGAGGCCCTTCACTCAAAGCATTAGGAAACATAGGTAACTCCTCAAAACACACCAGTCCTCCTTTCATGCCGAGGCAAGCGTGCCAGAACAAAGCCCTCTCTCATGTCTGTCATCTCTTCCAAAATATGGAACCACTTGAAGTTGTTGTCCTTCCCCTCTCTGTCTTTCTGTGTCTCCTCTTGCGTAATGAACCTCTTCCCTTCATTCTCTCAGCCGGGGTCCTGGAACAGAGGGTCGGAGCAAAGGAGGGCTGAGGAACATCACAGAGCATGAAAGGGAAGAGGAGACTCTGCCATCTGCCAGAATGTGTCTCTGTGTCTCTAACTCTTTCCTGTTTCCTCACTGTATTACCTACTATCATCACACGCACAAATACATGTAACACTCGTCTGTACTGTACTCCATTTTGAGAAGAGTTAAGGTAAAGAGATTAGAGATGCCACAGTACCAAACATGAAGTAGTCAATCTAATACCAGTGAAATTCCACTAGTCTCAATATAAATTAGATACCGCTTCAAATATAAAACAAACCACCGTTCTCGCAAAAGAAACCTTGCCAAAAACAAAATAGTACTACATTTAACATTAACTAGCTCTCCACATGTAGATTTCAACATGTATTTGTTGTTCACATTGTAGTATTAACAGCAAAAAATAAAATATGTTCTATATACAATACTGATATGATAAATATAATATGTGAGTTTACTGTGTCCAAAATTCAGTTAGTCTCGAGCCCCACTGTCATACAGGGCACTACATGGAGGTTAAATAAAAATTAATAATAACACCTCCATAAATTAAATAAATGGTGTTATGCAATATTATTTAACAATACACAACTTGCTATAACTCATAGTACTGATGTGCTTTGATAAGCTCTGACAGGCTGCTTTGCTTGTGTGTTGTCAGAAAACTGAAATAGAAAACAGCATCCTGTAGATGAGAAAGGTCCTTTCAACACACAGTCCTTCAGCCACACAGCAGGGTGAGAGTATCCGCCTGTTTTAGAGCCTGTGTGTGACATTGGGACATTTTCTTTTGTGCAAATTATGAGCAGAGAGCAAACTGTTGCTATGGAGACTGTAGTTAGTGATGCTGCGGCCACACCAACTAGTGTGCAGGAGAGGACTAAGCTGAACATACTGAGAGGATCACAGAGTACACACACACACACACACACACACACACACACACACACACACACACACACACACACACACACACACACACCCACACACGACTCAGGAAACCAAATAAAAGGCTTTCACTGATATATTTTTTGAATGCTTATTCGGTGTGGTCACGTTTAAAAGCTGGAATAGGGGAAGAAGAGTGTGTCATTGGAGCAGCAGCAGCACAGAAAAATGATGCAGGTTTTCTGAGGGGAATGGGAAATACATTGAACACGTCTCACCACCCTTACCTTCCCAACAAGATGATCATAGTGCTGAAAAAAGAGGGTGGATAAATAGATGTGTACGGTGAGAGCGGGATGGACGGATCACTAGGTTTCCAGAAATAAACTGATGGGAGAGAAGGGCAGAAGATAGGAGGAGAGGACAGAGTGGAGGCAGTTATCTCTAAATGTAGTTGTAGTGCTGGAAAAGCCATGTTTGGAAAGTGTGTGCCACTATCTGCCATAAAGTGTCGTTGTTGTCTTCTATCCCCGCCTATCCACTATTGGCCTCCACTGACAAACACAACAGCAGACAGCCAATTCAATTAAATCTCTTTCTGATTGGAGGGAACAGATCTGATTACCTCTCATAGAAGACACACACATGCACGCCACTCACACACACTCAAAATACCGTTGTTTGTGCTCTAAGATTCCCCAGGGAAAGATATGAGAGTAAATGGCTTCGGTGATTGTGCCAGATAGACTGGATGTGTGCATAATATCCACACGAAGAAGATAATGTGTTTGCTAATCGCACACCAGAGACGAGCAAACACATATCCCCACACACACATACATGCACAAAGGCTAACAGCTGCACAGCTATAACCCTTAACCACTCTTTTCATGCAGTTGGCTGCCAGCTACAGTAGAAACACACCCACACACATCCTCAGCCAAATCCCATTGTGGGAGCGTCGTGATTTTTCAGTTGCGATGACTGTTGACTGTGAGTGGTGACAGCAGCGGAAGTTATTATTACTTGTAATCATAATTGGTGCCAAATCACGAAAGACAGATACGCCTAAGAAAAATGTTTTATTTAAATGTGATGATATTATTAACACACCTAACACCTTGGTTGGTTATTGGCTAATGGTTACACAAGCCAAAAAATCGTTATGACATCATAAAGTGGCCAAAATCTGATCAGCTCATTTTCAGACAGGTTTTTATATAAATGGGTCAGGAGAAAAAGTGAGAGAATCTTTTTTCCTGAAACCTTCAGAGTCTCTTTAAACAGAGGGGACACATGTTTATATACAAGACATGAAAAAGTGGATTTTGCATAATAGGTCCCTTTTAAAGCACTGTAGAAATAAAACTCCACTGTCTCAGGTTGTTAGGAGACACACCATACCCAGTTTTGACTAGAGCCCCTCTAGAGTGTTAAGCAAAAGCAGAGCATAAGTTCATTAAGCATGCTTTAACAGCTTTGGTGTAGTCTGTTACACTCGACAAAAAAGGCAGTGTTGTTGGAATCCTACGTTGTGATGTCTAAATGATTTGCTTGCACGGTGAAGAAAGTGAGAAATACGATTCAAAGATTCCCCCAGAGTAATGCGTCCGTGGTTCATCGTACTTCATTAGCAAGGTCGGCTCGGAGATGTAAAAGTTTTAAGTGGAGACAAAACTGTCTGCTGCTGTTAGGCTCAAATGTCAAACTGGCTCGCTGTTCTAATTTGACATGCACATAAAAGTCTTTGCACTGGCAGACTGTCAACTCAATGTTTTATTGATCATGGAGAATCTCAAAATGTGTTTCCTTCCAAACAACTCATGGCTATACTAATTAACAAACATCCACTCCAAGCATATACCGCAGCCTTATCTCTTTGCATAACTTCAAGGTTGCAATACACAGACAGACACACAAATTGCAATCTTGTAATAGGTGTCAGGCCGCTTCTGAAAAACTGCTACATTTAAAGTCTGACTATTTCAGCTTTCTACAAAATGCAGTGTTTCCCCTATATACAAATAGTGGCAGCGCAGCGCCGCTACTGAAATATGAGCGCCGCTGCTAGGGGGCCCCAGACAGGTACCCAAAACAAAAAAAACAAAAAAATCTCTTTACTTTTTTTCTTAAAATAATAATAAGTGGCGACCCTTTTTCATTTTTGATTGTTTGNGAGTGTGTGTGTGTGTGTGTGTGTGTGTGTGTGTGTGTGTGTGTGTGTGTGTTTATGTGACAAATCAAAAGAAACAGACAGGGGAGAGGGCAGAGAGGAGAAGCTGAAAAACCCTCAAGTCTAAATGCTGAAGGCAACCCATTCATCTTTCCTCTCATATGCTCTTCTGGGCTTCAATCCCAGTCCTAGTGAGTGTGTGTGTGTGTGTGTGTGTGTGTGTGTGTGTGTGTGTGTGTGTGTGTGTGTGTGTGTGTGTGTGTGTGTGTGTGTGTCTGCATCTCCCCACATATGGAGAGTAGTCTGAATGATGAACATGATCTCTATTGCAGCAGAACAATGGTGTTTCTAAATAGGACATGAGAGGCATTCAGCCATCCCTCACACACTGTGTATGGGGGGAACATACGCTTGTTTGCAGGGGCTGAGGAGCACCAAGTGCAATGAGGCATCTGCTGCAGGTGATAGTGAGTGTGTATGTGTGTGTGTGTGTGTGTGTGTGTGTGTGTGTGTGTGTGTGTGTGTGTGTGTGTGTGTGTGTGTGTGTGTGTGTGTGTGTGTGTGTGTGTGTGTGTGTGTGTGTGTGTGTGTGTGTGTGTGTGTGTGTGTGTGTGTTTCTGTGCATCCATTAAGTGCCGCTCCCAACGGTGTCCAGAGTTTTTGCTACATCAATCAGATGCTTATTCAGAGATTGCTAGGCGTCGCTCTGGCAGTCGGTCGCGCCCCCCCCCCCAGCAGATGGGTGATGGCTTCCAGCCCGGCCCCTGGCATCACCTCTGCTCCGAGACCACCCAGGCCTGCTCTCATACACCTGCTAGCTACCTGCCTCTGGAGCTTTACACACCTGGATGTGTTTGCTTCACACCAACCACAACATTCCTGCACCTGTTTGGTAGCAACCTCTACTGTACCGAGATACCCCCCCCCACCTGTTAATTAGCTATGAACAACAGCCGGGCTGCATTATGTTGTCCAACCCAAATCAATCATTATTAAAGAGGAAGAGCAGCCGATAATGGTATGAATTTGTATATGCGTGTTTTTTAACCAGCAATTAGGGTACAGGTTTAAAAAGTACTTATGTATAACCACACATCCCCTGGTAGACCACCACACTCACATAGACTGTAATACCCCTGATGTGCAAATATAATACTTTGTGCAATATAACCTAAGCCTCGTGCAATTCACGCTTTATATTTTATTTCAATGTATTTAGAATCGGCAAACAGTACCAGCTAGGTCTACTTTATGGTATACTTCTTTTCTTAACACAGTATACTGTAACTTTTTTTTACCACGGTGTACTTATCTGCTGTTTCTTTTTTTACTTATTGTGTTTTTTATTATTAATAACGTGTGCATACTCAAAAAATGGTGTTGTTGTAATATGTAAGTCTATCCTCTTTACTTTATCTGCACTAAACTTCTGCTGTTAAATAAAGTACAATTCCCTGTTGTGGGATAAATAAAGGAATTCTGATTCTGAAGTTTTTCTAATATACTCTCAATAATGTTTTCTTCAGACAAATTACGTCATCTCAAAGAAAGTAAAGTAGTAGACGATAAGGGATGCCTTTAACTTTGGGAAAACATATGAATTCATATCACCTCAAGAGCATCAATGCCTCAAAGTGTTCCAAGGACGTTCCTACCTTTCCTTCTGGAGTCCCGTCTGACGCTGCTGGGCCTGACCGCTGGCTGGAGCTCTGTCTCTGTTGACATCCTCAGGCTCCAACTGGCTAGACTCCGCTCCGCTTGGCTCCGCTGGGCTCCGAGGGTCCAGTTCACAGCGTCGGTGCCGGCTGTCGGTGTGTGGGCGCCGGGTGGGTGCGTGAAGGCGCCAGGTGTGTGTGGGCACACAGGCTCATGGGAGAGGGATGGGCTTTAGCCCTGACACAACATCCCACACACACCCACAGAGAGCTGCAGAGAGGGAGAGGGAGAGAGAGGTTTGCTTCAGTCGGGGGTGTTTACTCTTGGCAGGCGAAACCTTGCAGGAGTTCTCAGACGGCATGAGAATGAGCTTGTTTCTGATCGGGGCCTTGAGTGGATGTTGCCCGTGGTAACAAACAGTGAGACATGACCTACACTTCCTGCTTCCTTTCAATAATGTTTGGCTACAAGGACAATGCGTAAGGAACATTCCCACTTCCTTCTTCAATTATGCAATCATTGTTTAAACAGGTTTAAAAAGCTAATAGTGACATTTAATGACATTTAATCAAAAATCTACACCAAAGAGTTTTGAACAACGATCAATCCGTCAAATGAAATTCTGGATAATTACAATCTTGGTGTTGTAGGTAGCCATCATTTATGTTGCTGTACTCAGTAAGTTGAATGCTGTAAAGTAATGAGAACAATTTGGGGGAAAGAAACACAAGCAGTCAGACAATCTGACAGGTTGTAAACAAGCAAACAGTTTAGTCAAATATTTAAAAACAACCAAAAACCAAATGTTTCCGCAATTCAAATTGGACAGGATTTGTAAACTGCGATGGATGTACAGTAATTTGACCATTGACGTTTTTAATGTCTTAAATAATTGTTGCTAATAATGTACATCCATGCAAGTAGCACCATCCCATGTTGTTGGGGCCTCCAATGTTAATATTATCAAAAGCAAGATAACCAAAATGTATAAGCCATGGTGGAAGTGTAATTCTCCTTTAGCGCTGCTACCAAACTTGTTGCCCCTCCTGGGCCCGCTCCAGCGCCTGGTGGGCCCCTCTGGCCACAGATTTCTATTCCTTCTTTGCCCATCTGCCACTACTTTATTCTGAAGTGTTGACTGGCAGCGACTACGACAACGAAGGAGCCAAAAACACTCAGATTCACACTCTAACCCTGTTGTGTGAAAGCATGAAAACACACACATTAACATGCACACACAAATGCAGACAAGCTCCTTTCATACACAAACGCTGAAGTACAAAGACAGCAGGAGACAGCTGCACGGTGACGTGTATAATAACGAATCAGACTACCTTCTGAGCTGCTTTCCACCTCTCCTTGGACTATCAGTCTTGACCTCTCTCTCTCTCCCTCTCCATCTAACAGTGACTGAGTGCAGACTTGAAGAAAACGAAAAGATTGGTACTTCTTGGGAAAGGGGGAAATCTCCCTTTTTCTCTTCCTCCCCCTCTCCACGGTGTTTCTGTGTGAATAGGAGGCCCCTGTGAGCCTCAAGCGAGAACAGATAAATTGAGAGGCTTTTAATTTGCTGCAGACAGAACAGAACAGAGTCCATTTAATTCTGCCAGCAGAGGCCATGTCGGCAAAATGCTGACAATATTCTTTATCTGGTCCAAACACACTGGAAAAGTGTGAGTCACTCCAATTACAGGCATTATCAGCAGCACTGTTCCACCAAATGGATGGAGAGAGAGAGAGAGAGAGAGAGAGAGAGTGGGTATAAAGAGAGAGGGGTTAGAGGGAGGAGAAATGAACAGAGCGGGAAGAAAGTGAGGGGAGAGGGAACACAGAGAGGGTGAACAGATAATGAGCATGGGGTAAAAGGGGTGAGAAAAAAAGCCCAAGGAAGTAAAATCAGAAGAGAAAGGATGGAGTTTGAACGGCTTCAGCTCCGACCCTGAACACGTCCCCCTCTGTCCCTCTCTTTCTTTTTTGTTCTCTGAATTTGTCCTTCTAGCTGTGAAGTCTTTCAGGCAGCATCTGGAGCTAGTGTTTAATAAAGGCAGTTTGTTAATCCTCAACTTGGATCAGAAACCCCCCTACCCCAACTCCTTTTACACAATAATTACATTTTTTTTACTACAAAACACAAGATTTAAAGACATGTTCCGCTGGTTGTACTTTGAGTGTATGATTAAAAATAAAATCATGAAACACTTTTAAGATTAGTTTATATTCTGACTGTACAAATACACCTTTGAGAGCACCACCCCCTCACTAACTGAAGAAGTGCAACCATTGCAAGCCAAGCCAACCAGTCTGCTGGTGAAAATGAGCAAGAAACAAGACTTTGAGACTGAAAATGAAAAACCGTCTGCAGCATCCCTCTCCAGACTAAAGCTCCAGACATAAGGTTGTTTCTCCGGAAAGTCGGGGAATAGTTCTACATCTAAGCTACAGTCCCTGGAGGGCAGAACAAGCACATTTCCCCCCACAAAGCACATGTGTAGCTTCAACTGTACAAATGATCTGCCTCTTACACACACAGACAACATGAAAGAAAGAGCAGCGCAAATCAAAAGCCATCGTGAACACTGTAGTGGCGGTTTGACCTGGAATCAGCGCGCGAGCTAAAAGTAGCAGCAGAGAAGGATGTGAACACGGCTTAGTGTGTCTGGATTTAGACAGAAATCTGAAGCCATACCAGAGACTGGAGGAAAGGAGGCGAAGGGAGCAGGCGGTAAATTGGTCGTCCGTAAATGGGGCGCTGCCAACAGGCGCGAGTGGGTGATGTGAGCATCGGGCTGTGTGTGTGTGTGTGTGTGTGTGTGTGTGTGTGTGTGTGTGTGTGTGTGTGTGTGTGTGTGTGTGTGTGTGTGTGTGTGTGTGTGTGCGCGTGCGTGCGTGCGTGCGTGCGTGTGTGTCTGTGTGTGTGTGACTCAATAAACAGGATGCTGCCAATAGGAGCTTAATGCCCAGAAATCATCTGCAGCTACAATAAAGTCCGCCAGGCAAAAGGAAAGAAAAAAGAAAGAAAAAACGATGGTGGAGGGGGGGGTTTGCTGGCACTCTAGCCTCCCCTCTTTCTCCCACCTCCCACTCTCAGGGTAATTGTGTTCTGTCCATCAGGCTCAGAGTTAGATTAGCAGCTCCACTCATTCAGCTCCACTGCCATCTCAATAATAAATAATCATAGACCACTTCTACGCTACGCTCCTCACTACCTGTGCTATGTCCATCTTCCCCCCCCAACCCTCCTCTTGCTCCTTCTCCCAAAACCACCTTTGTATCCTGACACCAGCGCAGAGTCCTTATCAGCGACACATTTCTTCTCTGAGCTGCACTCGTTGATGAATAACCACGACTGCGGGTATGAAAGGTTATCCGTGTTACAGTCTGTCATGGTTCAGATGTCGGAATGGTAAATGAACAATCTCTCTCTAGACTACATTACCAGTCAGACACAGTGAAATGCTCCTAGTTTTAGGCACCATAATCATTTACTGCACTAGAAAACCAAAGAGAACATTTTTTATCAAGGCAAAAAAAAACAACAAAGGTGAACATCGACAGCCAAGAACATGAAATGTAGACTTACCAGTTTATGATATGTAGAATGTAAAATACAGTGTCCTCTTCGGTATTTTACCAACAGAAGTGAAGAAAGAAAGAGAACGTCAAACGGCGTCAAGGTTGAAAATCAACTAAAGAAGTCAGAGGACAAAAGGGAGTATGAGCTAAAGGACTGCTTTTGTGTGTGTAAGCAAGAGGAAAAGACAGAGAGAGTGAGAGAGGTAGGAAGATATGGGAACAAGAAAGTACCTGAGAAAATGAGCTGAGGGTTAAAGTTCAGTGTCACACCCAGATAGCTGCTGTAATCAATTCACTTTATACCTGGCCAGCAACAGATGAAGTGCAGTGTCATTCATCCCATGTCACACTTATGAACAGAGATCAAAGTTGTATTGATAGATGGTGACGGATACAACCGGAATACATTTTGGTATTTGAATCCTAAAATAAATGACCTGTCATTCTTCAAAAGATTAACAAACGAATTCCAAGGCAAAACCATTTTTTCTCAATGGGCAATAAAATGAAATAGGAGAGACAATCCCGGCTGAGAAGGCTGTGGCCAAATGTCCAAAATCCTACTGGTCTTTATTGAAACTATGGCCATGCACTGTGGGTTAAAGGTGAGCCATGTGTGCTCCCTGTTTATTGTAAGCCGATGAAGGCTGATGAAGAGTTGGCTGACTGGTTTTGATGGTCATCATAAAATCCTCAAGGTAAAGAAGAAATGGTGACATGATCTGGTTAAATGAGGTCGTGGCACTTGTTGCACATTGAACTTGCCATCTTATCTGCCAACATGTTCTTAATTGATCCATTTCTCAACATTGATTTCTCAGTAATGAATTAATGATTAACAACTGCACCTTTATCACCAACATAGAATTAATAGCATGAATGAAGTTACTCTTACATTGCATTAAAACTTCAAAGGATTCGTAAACCTGAACATAGAAAGCGATCGAAATATCTCGAGCCACATGTGCGAGTACAGATTGCAATTCACCCTTTGGTTGAGGGGAGAGAATGTCACTATTTGGCACAGAATCAAATGTCAGTGCATCTCCTGCTGAGAGGCTGCTGTCCAAAGGCATACCGTTACAGCTCACAACACTCCAGTACAGCCATAGCATGATTGTACGAGGCCGTTGGTGAAAAGGGCCTTCATGACATTGATCTAAACAGTCATTACACCCCCAACAGCACATTTGCAGCGCTTGATTTCAGAGAATTCCTCTTGAGATTGAGGAAAAAAAATAATATGTGGCTTTAACAGTAGTTACATCTGCACCACATACAAACAACGGCTCAAAATGTTTACAGCAGCTGTCAAGTGGATAAAGCAGCAGCCAGTGCAGAAGGCCTGCAGGCTCATAGGAACAGCAGTGCAGCTAGTTCAGCAGGCAGTCAGCCAGGCCACCAGCAAGCACACTGCAGGAGGAAAACATGGAAACACCGACTGTGAGCTTGCTCCAGGTACTCCACATGGCACCCTGCCTGTCTGCCGTGACTAGAAGGAACATTCAGAGGCCTCATCAGAAAGGTAAACACACAGACTTTCCCACCCACAATCTCCTGCCAGAAATAGGATACCCTGCAAGATGACAGATCCACATGCACGTGCAAATCGCAAATTAACAACAACAAAAATGCCATGCATAGTCTTCTTCACCTAACCTATTTACAGACACGGAGCTGTAGATATCAAAGCGCTGTGCTCTCTTTGGGGAATTCCTCCTTTCTCATGTTTTAAGGGGAAATAGATGAAAACGAATCTTATTCTTCCTGCGCCTGTGTGTGTGAGTGTGTGTCTGTGGGTGTGTGTCTCCTTGCCTTGTTAATGTGCTCAAATGTAAATTGGTAGTGCTCAACAATGTGTATAAGGATGTCTTTTTAATGCAGAGTGGAAGCGGTGGCTTTGCCGACAGAATGTGGATATGCCTTTATTAACAAACCCACACTGATTCCACCTTTCTGTCTCTCTCTGATCTATTTTCTTCCTCCTTCAAACACACTATTCTACTGAAGCAGTCTGCATCATTCTCATATTCCCCATTAACGCATTCAAAACTAATTTGCTGAACTCCAGAATTGCATTTAGAGTGCAATTTGATCATTCATGCTTTGGTTCAGTTCTACTGCAGCCTGTATTTCTATTAATATCTAGAGATGTATCAGTTCAGTTCAGATCAGATCTTCACACGTTATTCCTCATTACCAAATGTGGAATTGGTGCTGGAGCTCCTTCCACTTTAAGAATGATTTATTGATTTATGGTTCCTTGGAGTTGACAGAAACAGGTAAATGTCAGCAATATGGTAATGATCATGATTAACCAATTGCAGTACAAACACACACCAAAATAGTTTGTCTGGTCTAGTGTGTTTGGACACACCCCAGACTGTCTGTAGCATTCCAAGAATGTTAATGGAATGTTAAAATTAGGGCTGCTCAATTAATCGTATTTTAATCGCCATTACGATTATGGCTTGCAACGATTACGAAAACAACGTAACTGAAATAAAACGATTATTTATTATGACTTTTTTTTTTTTTTTATAAATACATTTTTTTTTTTTTTTGGTTTATCAGTTGAATTATAATTAACGTTCAGGGTAATCAACTGTTAAAAACATACTGTTCAAAAAAAAATTCTCCAATAAATGGATGTTTTCAAAGTCAATTAATAGCCGCGCGCCAAAGTCAATTAATAATCGCATTTAATAATCGCAATTACAATTATTGACCCAAATAATCGAGATTATTATTTTTGCAATAATCGAGCAGCCCTATGTCTTCACAC